TTTCTTTCTTTTTATTCCACCTTTCAGCCAGAAAAGAAGCCAAGGCAGCTCACAGATAACTGGCACAAATGTGGGGCTTTGGCTCTGGGTTTAAGAAAAGAAAAGAAGTTCTTCTCCTCTTGTTTTGTAGTTTTGGAAAGCCCCTTCTGAACACCACTAAGTATTTTTTCCCCTCCGCTCATCTAAATACAGTTACAGGGTGACCAGATGTCCTCACCACAAAGGAGGAGAAGGCATGGCAAAAATGGAGGAAATTCAAGAAAAATGAAGGACTTTAGACAATAAAAGCTGAAAACACTCATATAACAAGTAAATTCAGACTTCTTAGTCATGCTCCAAAATGAAGGACCTTTTGGAATTCCTCCTGGACAGAAGACTGAAATGGAGGGCATGTCCTGGAAAAGGAGGATGTCTGGTCACCGATGTGATACAGATGACCCTTGGATTCAGACTTTGGTGGGCTTTCCCAGCTGAAGGTGGACAGGGCTCCTCTGCAGACTTGGTGTCTGTCGGTGTGGTAACTCATAGTGTCATCCCCAAAAAAACGTGCACACACAGTCTTTGTAGAGCAAATAGTGCATTGTGCATTTTCATCATAGAGACTAGTGTGCCAATGGCCCTGTACCACACCGTACAGAATCTGTAGTATTGTTTTTGTAGTAATGTTACTCATCAGTTGCAATTTCTGTATACCACTGCATGTAATGGCAATAGTTGTGACATAAAACAACAAGCAAAATTAAAATTATACCTTTAAATTAGAATAGCATATGATGTCCCAACAGTTTTGTTTTTAGAGGTCTCATGATCTGAGGCCCTGAAGAAACTCTTCAGGCTCTGAAGCAGTGTCTAAGGCCAGTGAGAAATGTGATGAAGGAAAGGAAGCTGACATTTAATCTGGACAGGACAGAGGTATTCTGAAGTTAACTGGACATACTAACTGAACACACTAACACCTCCAATTGTTTTTCTCCTGTTTGGTTTGTAACATCTTGCTTGATGAAGAAGCCCATGGAGCTTCGAAAGCTTGCAACAAGTATATTGTGCATTCTGGTTGGTCAATAAAGGTATCACTGATGTGTTTTTGTTTGAATTCAGGATTAGAGATTAGATGACATTGCAGGTGTCTTAACACGTGTCCAGAGGAGGGTGACCAAAATGGTGAAAGGTCTGGAAACCATGACTTATGGGGAGCGATTTAGGGATCTGGGTATGTTTGGACTGGAGAAAAGAAGGCTAAGAAGTGATATGATAGCCCTGTTTAAATATTTGAAAGGGTGTCATGTCGAGGATGGAGCAAGCTTGTTTTCTGCTGCTCCAGAGAATAGGACTTGGAGCAATGGATTTAAACTACAGGAAAAGAGTCTCCACCTAAACATTAGGAAGAACCTCCTGACAGTAAAAGCTGCTCAACAGTGGAACGCACTGCCTCAGAGAGTTGTGGGGTCTCCTTCTTTGGAGATTTTTAAACAGAGGTTGGACGGCCATTTGTTGGGCGTGCTTTGATTGTGTCTTCCTACATGGCAGGGGATTGGACTGCATGGCCTTGGGGTCTCTTGCAACTCTAGGATTCTCATATTCTAATGATTAAAATCCATAGATTAGGTGTATTTCTGAACCTCGATGTGCATGGGTTAGCAGCACAAAGAGTGCATTTTCATTTTCATTTATGTAAATGAATGGCATTCATTCCTAGAGCTGTTGGTGCCATATCATGAGATGATGTGACTCACTGGAAAAGAAAATAATGCATGGCAAAGTGGAAGGCAGTAAGAAATGAGGAAAACTGCATTGCAGGTGGATTGATTCAATAAAAGAAGCCACAGGTCTGAGCTTGCAAGACCTGAGCAAATCAGGTGATGAATGAGGCTCTTGGAGATTTCTCACTTAAGTCACCTTAAGTCACAATTGACTTGATGGCAAATAACAACAGCAACAATAAATATGCTTTCACCTGTGGCCTTGATACCACTTGGTAATGTGTGACGTAGTGGTTTGATTACTGAATGCTGGACTACAACGTGAGACCAGGGTTTGATTCCCCACTGAGCCATAAAATCCACTGGGTGACCTTCGGCAAATCACATGCTCTCAGCCTCAGTTGGCAATGAGAAGCCACCTCTGAACAAATCTTGCCAAAAAAACCACATGATAGGGTCACCTTTGGATCTCCATAAATCGGAAATGACTTGAATGCTTACAATAACAAAACTGGATTCAGAACTAGTGTAGCAGAATGGTTTGAGTGTTGGACTATGACTCTGGAGGCCAGGGTTCAATTCCCAGAGTAGCCATGAAACTCACTGGGTGACCTCAGAGGAAGGCAATGGCAAACTCCTCTGAACAAATCATGCCAAGAAAACCCCATGTTAGGGTCAACATAAGTAGGAAACAACTTGAAGGCACGCAACAAAAAACTGCATCCAAAGCAGTGGGTTCATATCCACAAAAGCCCATGTAAAAATAAAATCTAGTTAGTCTTAAAGGTGCTGCTGTTTCTTTTCTTTTTTCTCCCCTTACCTACCTTCTTTTAAAGCAACAACAATGTGAGTATAGGATTGCCGACTTCATTTAACTCTGGGTTGTGAGAAGCAGACTTGGGCAGAAGAGCAGACAGCTGGGTTATCCTTCTGTGATATCCCAAGACAACGCTTCTTCTTCTCTGTGGGAACCACAAACCTTGCAAAAACCACCCTGACCCTCTAGGGCAGTGAACATACACCAGCTTTCCAGATTCCTGACCTCAGGAAATTTCACTTCCTTTTAAAACTGAGCTTCAGAACCAGCCGGCATCAGAAGGCAATGCAACTTTGCTGTGAAAAGTGTGTCTGCAAAAATACTATGGAATGCGTGGGAGGATGTGTATGTGTGTGTTTGTGTGCGGACCAGCACTCAGGGAATCCTATTGTGTTGTCATGGTGAACAGGGAGGGAAAAGGAGCAGCTGGAGAAGTGCCAGTAACTCAGAATGAAAACTATGCTGAGTAAAGATTTTTCTGCTTTCCTCCCAAGAGCTTATGTTCAAGATCACTTACCCTTTAACACTCATTAACCACCCTGTTGCCATCGCTGCCAACTCAATCGACTACGGCGGCTCTTTCCATCCTTTTGCCTCAAATCCATGGGCAACCTGAGGTTTCTTCTCCATACTAATTATTAGAACTGGAAATAAGTAGTGAATTTCAATTTAACAGAAGAGCCAAAGCCAAGACTGCAGAAGGTGGCATGAAAGGGACAAGCTTTTGTTTTATTCAAGCATCCACAGAGCTAGGCAGCATTGCTTCTGGCTGGTTTGTACTCTGGGGATTTAAAAAAAAAATTGATTGATTTTGAGCATTTATACCATGCTTGTTAGCCAAAAAGCCTTGAAGGATAGCTTACAAAATAGGTAGCATGACAGTCTGTGCCCTCAGGCTTATGCTCTAAAATTTGAGACATGCAACACAAAAGGAATAAGGGATTCTGAGGGACAAACCTGACTCCAGGGCTTACATTGTTTTGACTATAAAGATCTCTACAATAATAATAATAATAATAATAATAATAATAATAATAATAATAATAATAATAATAATAATATATCTACAATGCATTTGAGGAGGAAGACTTAAGTCTACAAAGGCTCATGCTGCCAACTTCTTTCTTTCAGTTAGTCTCAAAGGTGCTACAAGATCTCTCTACATAATGATCCTACAGACTAACACGGCTATATCTTTGAGTTCTTGATATCTACAGTGTTTATAAAACTCAAGTGTTTTAGGTTCAGCTAGATGGAACTGCTGAGGCAGCTTCCTGGAATGTCTCCTGTCAAGTTGACAGCAGGAGAGGAAGGAGGACACAGGGATCTTCCTCTGCTACAGATTGCTCTCAGTGGTAAAAATTTGAATTGTTAGTCCCTATAGCAACACCACCAAGGAGAGACTAAAATGTGTGGTTCTACATTTTAAAAATAGGTGGGAGTTCTCCCAGAGTTTGTTATACAGCAGAAAGGGGAAGCGAAGCGTCATGAGACACGCATGCTAGACTTTAAGAAAGCCGATTTCAGTAAACTTGGGGAAATACAAAGTGAGATCCCATGGTCAGGAATAGTAAAAGAGAAGGGAGTTCATGATGAATGGGAGTTTCTCAAAACAGAGAGATATTGAAGGCACAATTTGAAACAGTTCCAATGAGGAGGAAAAATGGGAGGTATCTCAAGAAACCAGGATGGAGGATTTTAAACAGAAGCTGGAACCAGGGAGTCTAGAACACATCCCTGCACACCTGTGCATCAGCACAGAACACATCATAGGCTGATATACAGTCTGTTACTCTGTGTACAAAGGTGACTGAAGTTCGGCATCCCTGCGCACCTGCACCGGACATGTCATAGGGTGGCATACAGTCTGTCATTTTGTCTGTACAAAGGTGACTGATGTTCAGCATCCCTGCACACCTGTGCAAGAGCTGTCATACACCCACAGATCATGCAAGGATTTGCTGACCTCGGCTTCC